GCTCTCCGCTTGGTGGGGAGCCTGCTTCCCCCTGTCTCTCTGCCTGTCTGTCTGCCTACTTGTGATCTCTCAGTCAAATAAATAATAAAAATAAAATCTTAAAAAAAAGTAATGCTTTTTACCAAATGAAAAACATTGCTTACGTAGATTCCATAATGATACTTAACAACAACAACAAAAAGAGAAAGCCAACAAACAGAAACACCCTAGGAGGCATCATTGAAAGTAATTAGGACAGTAGCTTCTTACTCTAAAAGGTGTCAATCATATGGGAAGATTAAACATTTATCTTGTCTTTTATGTATGAACAGTATATTGGGGTAATCAAATAGCCTTAGGGGATGAGTGAAAGGTTTTCATTATAGAAAAATTCTACATAATCAAAGTATAAGAAATAATAGAAATTCAGCATTTTTAATCTTTAATGAATAATAGATTGGAGCAGTAGTCATCAATGGATAAAACCATTGGATAAAAAAACAAGCAAATCATTAGATAAAATTTTGTTGGAAACTTTACAGTAAAGTAAAGTAAAATGCCCCAACCCATTGATCAGTCTTAGCATCAGGCTGTTCATGCCTCCTCATATGATACAGTTATGAAATACAGATTATGACTATAAATTATTCTTGCCAAAGAATTGACCTGTATCTAATCAAACCTTTATTTTTTTTCTTTTTTTAAAGATTTCATCTACTTATTTAACAGAGATCACAAGTAGGCATAGAGGCAGGCAGAGAGAGAGGAGGAAGCAGGCTCCCCACCAAGCAGAGAGCTCAACGCAGGGCTTGATTCCAGGACCCCAAGATAATGACCTGAGCAGAAGGCAGAGGCTCCAACCCACTGAGCCACTCAGGCACCCCCTAATCAAACCTTTAAAGTTAACTTTCATTTGGAGGGAATATGAGGGATGAATTGAATTGAGCAATCAACTTGCATTACAGGGAAATAAACAGGTAAGTCCAAAATGTTGAATCTTCTCTAGCACAATACACTTGGTTTCTTCACAAGTCAGTTACCTGGGAAATAATAAAGGCAAGGGAGGAGAGACAATCAATTTTAGATTGAGACTTTATCTTTTTTTAAATGGTTTTGTGGATCCCATAAAACCAAATGCAAACATATTTTTAAAAACTGGAGAAATCTGCACATACCTAAGTCTTAGATGATATCTGGAAAATTTTACATTTACTCACATGTATTAAAATGGTAATATGTTTATGTAAGAGGATGTCATATTTTCTAGAGATGCATACTGAAGTAAATAGAGCTGAAATGACATGATGTCTGGGATTTGCTTCTAAAAATTTACTGAGGGGCATCTGGGTGGCTCAGTCAGTGAAGCATCCAACTCTTGATTGCTGCTTGGGTCATCATCTCAGGGTCATGAGATTGAGCCCTTCATTGGGCTGGGTGTGGACCCTGCTTAAGATTCTCTCTCTCTCCTTCTACCCTTTCTCCCTAAAAAAAAGTAATAATTTACTGAGAGAGAAAGAAGAAGAGAGAAAAGAGGGAAGGAGGAAGGAAAGGAGGAGGAAGAACAATAATTACAACAGAGACGAAGAAGACAGAGTGAGAAAAAAGGGGGAATTAATCACAGCTATAAAAAAATGAACTGAAGGGGTGCCTGGGTGGCTCAGTCGGTTTAGTGTCTGTCTTCAGCCTGGGTCATGATCACAGAGTCCTGTGATCGAGCCCCATGTCTGGCTACCAGCTCAGTGGAAAGCCTGCTTCTCCCTCTGCCTGCTGTTCTTGCTCTATCTCAAATAAATAAACTCTTAAAAATAAATAAATAAATAAAACGACTTAAGTGTGTTTTAAAAATAAATAAGTATACCAAAGAAAGACTCAAATGCTCATATCCTTAGGAATCAACATACCATGTAGATTCAAAAATGTATTCTTTTTCATGAAATAACAAACGTGACCATGAATAAATGTGGGTTTTTTTGAAGGGGGAGGGCCAAAGGGGAAGGGAGAGAGACTCTCAAGAGGCTTGACACACAGAGCAGAGCCTGAACTGAGGCTGTCTCCCAATCCTGAGATCCTGACCTGAGGTGAAATCAAGAGCCAGACACTTAACCCACTGAGCCACCCAGGCGCCGCCCATATGTGTTCTTTTTTAGCCAACAGAGAACCTATGTTCTTTTCAAAAACTGCTAAACTTTGACTGTAATTGGCAATTAGTCTCAAAGAATATATTGACTTTACTGCTTGATTTTTTAGTGGTAGTGTTCTGGAAATTTGATTTGCAAATTTATCTTAAATTATACTTTGATACATTTTCTCCTGCCCCCCCCCCACCGTTTCTCTCTCTCTCTCTCTCTCCCCCTCTTTCCCTCTCTCACTCTCTCTTTTGCTCTCTTGGACCTCCAGTTCAACCACATGGTTATTGTGCTGGCACTGGGCAAAACGTGATATTAGAGTTAAAAAAAATCTACTCACCAAAGTTGAAGGAGTTTTTTTTTTTTTTTAAAGATTTTATTCATTTATTTGAAACAGAGAGAGAGAGATCACAAGTATGCAGAGAGGCAGGCATAGAGAGAGAGAGGAGAAAGCAGGCTCCCTGCTGAGCAGAGAGCCCGATGCGGGCCTCGATCCCAGGACCCTGAGATCATGACCTGAGCCGAAGGCAGAGTCTTTAACCCACTGAGCCACCCAGGCGCCCAACTGAAGGAGTTTTTAACTGTGTTTTTCTACTCCTCCCCCAATTTACTTGGCTCACACTTACTGTCCTAAAATAATTTTACGACCAGTTTGTCGAGTTGTATAAACTATCCCACTGCCATTTATTTGGGATTGCATTGATTTTTGTAAAGATAATTGTTGATATAATTGATATGTTTACAACATTGTATCTTCTTATCTAAAAACAAAGTATATATCTCTACTCTTCTGGTTTTTTATACCTCTCAAAACATTTTATAGATTTTTTTCATATTGCCCTTGCACACTTCTTTTCTATTACTGTGAATGGGCTTTTTAATAATTATATATTCCGATTACTTATTGATAATATATAGAAAGCTCTTGATTTTCACATATTGCTCTTATATCTGATTATCTGGAAAATTTGTTAGAATTGTTTAAAAACTCATTGGAACTAAACTAAATCTTCATCAGTAGAGGAATGATTAAATTAATCAGGATAGATCTAGTTTATGGAACATTATGCAACTCTTTAGAAATTATATGTATATTAAAAAAAGAAAAGAAATTGTATGTATGTAATATATGGTGAGAGAGAGAACCATCTCCAAAATAAAGTAGAAAAAAAGCAAGTAAGCAAAAAAAAAAAAGTTGCATAATAATAAAGTATGGTCCAAGTATGTAAAACTACTACATGTGGATATATGCATATGCAATGTAAATTTGAATAAGGTCTGAAAAAATGTGTTCCAGTGTTAACAGTAATTACTCTTGGGTAGGAGAGTAAAAGAGATTTTTCACTTTTTTACTATAATATTTTTGTACTGAATTTTTTTAAACATGAATTTATACAATGCTTTCATAATTAAAAACTAAAAGAAAAATATTAAAGTAAGATGCTGGGAAAGAGACAAGTTGATAAAGATTGACATGGAGGAAGCCCCAGGGAGAGTAGATATAAGTCCATAGAAAACTCTCATGGGTCATTAATTTCTACAATATCTTTAAAGTCACTTCCATTTGGCTTTGGAAAATCTGTGTCTCTACACAACCTGTCAAGAAGTATTACCAGCATCTATTAGAGCAGAAAATGAAGATAAAATGTAACACTACTATCCGATGAAATCGGTGGAGACATCTCTCCCTGATGTTTATCTAGCTCATGTGATTTCTCCCATGCAAGGGCTATGGACTAGTGAAAGACCTAAATAAATTAGCTGACTAAATGAATTGGATAATTTTCCTTCTAGCCCTTTCTCATTACAGCTGGAAACCAGATGAGACCAGCCTCTATTTCCTAGGTCTTCCTAGTGTCTGGAGTTTCTATATGGGAAACTCTTCCAACCTGAATGTAGAAATGGGAGCCTTGTGTGGTTTACCTGTATCAGGTGGGTTGAGGCATCCTTATTTGCCTTGAAGCAAATATCCTGGCTTGCATATGAGATCTTTATAAAAGGCCCTTGCCTACTTCATATCACTGTAAATACTTATGCCATGCTCCTAGCACAGTGAGTTAGAACATAAGCAAGTTTTGGCAGATGTGTGACCTAGACTTTTATTTTTGTAACATGTTAAATGGACATCAGTGGTAGAGAGTTGTAGTTCACCTAACATGGTGTCTAGCAGCGTTTCTCAAACTAATATGAGTCACCTTGGGATACTGATTCAGTAGGTCTGGGGTAGACCATTTAACTTGCATTTCTAAGAAGCTCCCAAGTTATGTGGATGTGGTTTGTACAGGAACTAAGTACTTTGTACTTAAGTAGCAAGAGAGTACAGCACATGCTTGTTACTCAGTAAATATTTGTTGAATGAGTCCTCTTCTGTGGTAACACCCAGAAATAAGAAACTTCTTCTAGAGACACACCCCCTTCTTGTACTCTGTGTTAGACGGTGAGGAATTTTTACTTTCTCAGGTGCTAACTCTCTCAAGCTATTGTGATTTACATACTTTTCATCTCTATCCTGACATTCTGCCCACGTGGAGGTAGGACCCAGGGTTGTTTTCTGTATAGGCAGCATTGCTGTATGCACTCTGATCTAGTCACCCTTTCCTAGCCCAGTCTGGTATAATTAACAGTCTGCCCAGTGTGCTGCACTATGATGTCAACGTCATAGATAAGGCCAGGAGGGAAACTAGAAGCCCCTTCTCTAAGACCCATTCCCCCCTAGAGCCCCAGCCCCTCCCCTCCTCCGTGGTAGGGAGTTACTTGAGCAATAAATTGGTTTGCAAAGCTTAACAAACCAAAAAATAAAAATCAAGCCACATGAGAACTCCAACACAGAGGTACCTTAAACTGAGCAAGAATTAAAAGTTAACCAGACTTACTACAGGTACCCAAGACTCCAAGATGGCATCAGTCATACCAGTAGAGGAGAAGCAGCCCATGGATGTCAAACTAGGAGAGCTGCTAAACTGGATACTGATGTGGGATTTCACCTCTAAAGGCATTGCTGGAGCTTTTCAAAAAGCCTACTACTAATATTACAACAAGCATGTCAGTGTGAAAAAGGGAGCATCAATGGGATATCTGTGGTGCTAGCAGTTTCTGTGTCTTTCAACTACTGCCTTTCTTACAAGGACCTGAAACATGAGCGGCTGTGCAAGTACTACTGAAGTGGGCCCTATGTGAAGGGCACACTCTGCATTCCAGAACATGACCTTTGCCTGATACCCCTGAATCCTGTTGTATTTGAACTAAGAATTACCACCCAATAATAGATGACTGGGAAAAGAAAAAAAAAAAAGTTAACCAGAATAGTGTCTTGAGAAATCTATTGCCTGGTTTTCCCCTTCACCAGGAAAAAAAGAAAAAAAGAAAGAAAAAGAAAGAAAACATTTGCCTGTTGAGCTAGTTGAGCTACAGCAAAAATACCTCATAAATTAAAATCTCAACCTTGGTCTTTTGGAGTAGATATTTTCCTTAAAATAGGATCAAAAGCCAAGTTAAAAAATGGTTGAAATATTTATGTTGAAATATTCTTTTGGAATGAACTAGGCATATTTTGGACAGATGACAATGTTAGTTTTATTGTATAAAACCATGTTTAGTATTTTAGGAATTGTCTTGTTCGAGATCACTGGATTGTGTAGACAGAAAAATTCTGTTGTCTTATGATCAATTTAACGCTTGCTGTCAATTTAACAGTTATTCTCATTCATTGGCTACTCAGCTGGGGACTCTAAGAGTACAATGTTAGCAAAATTCACTTGGGGATTCTAGCATGTACACATTAGCTGAATACATTGGGCTGTGATTTGTAGTGAGAGCCTGGTTTTACAGGGAGCATTTTCTACCCACCCACAGCTTCATGATGATGTTGAAATCTGTCTAGTCGGTGGAGGATCAGTAGCTTAAGGAGCTAATGAATATTCATTTCTTTTCCCTGGGTACAAAGTAAAATAACCAGTAATTAGTATAATATTTAATACTTCTATTCAAAATAAATAAATCTTTTGTAAAAAAAACCTAATTATTATAATGTAGCAAATTCCACATATGTAACTGGAATTGGATGTGGTGTTTTGAAAATGCTTCTAAGCCCTCATTTACATGTTTTGAGATTAGTTAATTATTCCCCTTGTATGCATAAAACAGAACTGTAAATTTTTACCTGCATTTATTATTCATTTTCCTATCTCCCAAGTTTAGCTGATTCTAATATTTAAATTTTGCATTTTCTTGATACTGAAGATATTTGTATTTTGAAGTAATGTTTTGAATTAAGATTTGTTCTCCCTTTCTTTCTTTCTTTCTTTCTTTCTTTCTTTCTTTCTTTCTTTCTTTCTTTCTTCATTCTCCCTTTCTTTTGTTGCATAGATACAGGATGCAATAGGTATAAAAATTCCCAGATGGTGTTTCTTATCTGATCCTAGGTTTATGTGGCAAGGTTTAGCTGTTCCAATTTTTAAAAATATACATCTTTGAGCATGTAATACATGGTAGAACACTATGCAGGGTGCTTTCACAATTGTCACCATTGTTTTTTATTCTACAGCACTTGTGTGGAATTTGTTTTTCTACCACTGTTCTGTAGATAAACTGAGCTCCAAGAGTTTCTTTAACTCCCTTCATGCAAAGTGTAGAATTCTAACTTATCTTCTATCTGAGTCCAAATCCAGTTTATACCACAACTGTGAGTTTCTGATGTCTCTTTTGCTAAGCGGAGAAAGGTTTGGAGGAGGTGATGATATGCTTGTTTGCAAGTGAAAATTTATAAGAGTGACATCATGGGTTTGGGTACTTGTGAGTGCCAACCACTGTCAGGGCACAGGGATGGCCCAGGACAGTAGCTACGCAGGAAAATACATTTTTGGCCTGTGGCAAAGAAGGAAACTTCTCATCTGCAGCCTGAATGTCTCTCAGTGATGCTGGCTAGTGCCTGCCGGAGAGAATTTACTTTCTTGTCCAGATGTGAGTAGATAGATCTATGTCAGATACAGTCACAATCCTTGAAGACCTAGGTAATTCATTGTGCTGCTCCTCCATTCTACGGGAAAATGGAAATGCTGACTTGCAGGGAGTTTGTATGACTTATCTGTAGTGGGGAGCAAATACAAGGCCTTTATTTTGGTTCTTTTGAGAGATTCCCAGGACAACTAGAATAAAATTCAGACCTGTGGCCCCATGTGACCAGGCTACTGCCTGCCTCTTCTAGCTCCTGGTGTGTTTCCCTTTTCCCCAGTGCTCAGCACAGGCCAGCCGCACTAGTCTCCCTCTTTCTGTTCCCTAATTTGCAAGTTTGTTCCTGCCTCCAAACCTTTGCATTTATTGTTCTCTCTTGGAGTGCTCTTCCCTGCTGTTTCCACATGGCTGATTCTTTCTCATCTTCAGACCTTAGTTCAGATACCCCCTTCACACAGAGCCTTCTTTGACCCCCCCCCATCTAAAAGAGCCTCTCCCCATGACCCCCCACAGTTTCCCAGGAACTCATTATCATGTGACCCTGTTCACTTGACTTCAGAGCAGTTTTGCTTCCTGAAATGATTTTTCTTTATTTTCTTATTGATTGTTTTGTTTATTGCTTTGGAATCCAGAGCTGCTCTGGCACATAATAGGTAATAATATGTGTTTAATAATGGATATGAATGCATTGATGAATAGATGAAAGTGAGACCTATAGAATTACAAATTCTAGAGTTTGAGGGCACTGGCTAGTAATCTGTGCCAACTTTGCACCCATTCGTCTCTATTTGATGATTTCACCTAAAAGAAAACTCATTACTTTATAAAACAGTGTCCCCAGTGCTTCTATTGAGAGACAGTGTGGGACTCTGGAAATCAAGTCAATCTCATCTTCATTCAAATCCAGATCTCTTACAGACTAGCTGTGAGCCATGATTAGGTTAGTTAATTTTGCTGTGTCCTGTTTTCCCATCTTAAAAGAGGGGTGATAATGTTTACCTGGACAAAGTGCTGTGACAAATAAAGAAGCCATGTATACAAGTGTGTAGACATGGTATATAGGAGGTTAGCATGTCAAGAGGGTCAAATCAATGTTAATTTTCTTCTTTCTCTGTTCTTTCTGTCCATTTGTCCTGTATTGTGCATCTCATGCATAGTCATATCTGATCCCACCTTTGAATTAGGCACATTGCATCAGTCTTGTTTTACAGGAGAGGAAACTGAAGGTCATGTTATTAAGTGATTTGCCCAAAGTTCTCCTTCTAAGAAATGGTTCAGTCACTGGCCAATTCTCTTTCCATCTCACCAAAGTTACCTCTTTCTTCTGTCCGCAAAACTGAACAGCAAACTGGTTGATGAAATGAAAGGAAGCAAATCCACTGGCCACTTAACTCTCAGAATGGCAGGGGGCATATGCTTCACCCCTAAGGGCAGCACAGCCTGCTAGAACCTGAGGGCCTGTGCCAAGGAGATGTGTAAACATGGACAAAGGAGCAGACCTCCACCTCTTGGTGCTAGGACTCTAGTCCCCCACCTTTAGTGACCACAGCCCCGCTACTAGTTAATTTGGGCTCTGGCCCTGAAATGAATGAAGCTATTATTATCGCTTGTCACTTGCAGATTGTTTCTGGGTACTGTGATGTTCCAGCTATAGTTGCTGGGTATTATGTGGGCCAATTAGGAATTGTGGTCTTTTGGAAGGCAACAGGGCAATGAAGAACGTGGGTTTAGAGCCGGACTTGAGTTCAAATTCTTATTCCATGATATATCAACTGTATGAGTTGTGCAAGGTACTTTCTGGATTTTCTGTTTTTTTCTCCTTCTGTATGAGAGGAAAAATTCCATCTACCTCACAAGGTTTATTTGGAGATTAAAAATGTCTAGCACATGTCACTTTGTAGTGCATGATAACAGCCACCATCCCCTTTTCCCACAGATAATATTATTCTCTGGGTAGAAAATTAAGGGACATGGCTAGAAATAGCTAAGTGCCCCTACCATGACCCATTTCAACAGGGCCAAAGCTTAGAAGTTCTCCTTGTTTCCCACTTGTATTTTCCGAGTGTGATAAGTGAAATCTGGAGGAATTAGTTTACTTCTAAACACTTAGGGTGGAAGTAATGTGAGTAATAAATTATCCTCTATTCCCTAAGATCTTCCTGGTCATTATTCTCTAATCTAATTAGAATGCCGGATGCAGATCCATCCATCTTCATCAAGAAGCAATGGTAAACTGGGAGAAACACTTAGTGAAAAGGAAGGATGGATTTTCCATGAAGTAGCCAAGGATGAAACTTAGAAACTCGAGCTAACATCCAGAATCACAGGTGAGAACTGTGTGGTGTTTTCTTCTCACATATGCATATCTACATTTTGCTTTCCTTTTAATAGTCAATCAAATGTCTATGTTAGAAATATTTATAAGGTTACTAGAATGTATGCTTGCTTATGTTGTTTTCCTCCTTCAGCATGATGGGAAATCATCCAGACTTTTTTGGTTTCCCTCTCCCATAACCCTCAAAGTTTCCAGAGCCTAGAGTCCAGGCTGTAAAGGGTCATTTGTGGTCATTCATGACGTCTTTGGCTTTCTGGGACATTTGCGTAGCTAATACGTCCAGATGATGTGGCAGTCAAATTATCTACCAAATGGAGCCAGATATTGCTAGGAGAAAATACACAGATAAGAAAATTTTATCTCTGTTGAAACTCCAAAGGAAACTAAGTAAAACCTAATGGTCTATGTATTTTGCTCCATGGGAAGTATAATTGGGTGGTGATTTGAGGACTTTATAGAGACAGCCAAGCTCAAAATCTTTATTTTTTAGCTCTAATATTTGAATATACCTTCCTTCAAAATTGCTGTATTTGAATATACCTTCCTTCTCCTATCCATCCATTCATTTGTCCTCTTTCTATTCCTTTGTGTGAATGGCTGTGACTTGGTAAAATGGGTGCTAGCTATCTTGCTCACCCTTGTTTCTCTAGCATTTAGGAGCGAAGGACCTGTGCATTTCAGATGGTCAGTGAGTACCATAAGAGGCATCTACATTTGTGGTTCCAGATTTTTGTGATGTTAGTTGGGCAGATCATTTGCTGAGTCTCTCTCTTGTCCCTCATATCTTGTATGAAAGCAACAAGCATAACCACTCCACCTTAACTTTTGAAAAGCACTGAAAAAAAAGGTGAAGAACCATTTATGTCCAATAACTAG